AAGCAACATGTACAGAAGTGCAACACACAAGTACCATGTCTAGAATAGGTTCAGATAATATGATATCAATAACATTTGATGACCTGATAACATTCTGTGACAGAATGAGTGTGCATTGAGTAGTCACTCCTGCAGTAGATGATTTCAAATCTGAGATTCACAGATATCAAAAGAATGTTCAAAAAGCCATGAATATCAAAGCTGTAACTACATTTGATGACAATAACTACAAGATCTGATGTACAGAAATTCTTGTGAATACTGAAGTCATTGACAGATCTGACATTCTTATAAAGAATCAATGTGTCTGTTCAGAAGACATCAGTCAAGACATATTAAGTGCTGAAAAATGAAGCATTCATATCAAAGCACTGTATTAACATATATTACAGTTCTTATTAGAACCTGTACATACAATCATTGAAACCCTTGAGCCAGATAATGCAGCTGTGCTATGAGAAAGAATTGAAGTTGAATATGCTGTCTCACTTGCAGAGAAATGTATGAATATTATGAAAGAATTCATTATCTTACATGTCAGAGATAACAATTATCTGACATTTCAGAGAAGATTCTGTTATCTAGTTACATGTCATAAGAAATTGATAAATAACTCAGAAGACTTCTACTATAATCTCTTCCTTATTGATCTGAAGAAGCATCAAAAGTCTTTTATCAAGACACATTTAGACAATTTCTACATGTCTGGCCAGGACTCTATATACAATATTAATATTGATAATCTCATGAAACAGTTGATAAACTGTACAAGCAAGTTCAAGAATGAAAATTCTAAGCCTCAGTAAGTCAATACAACTATCATGACTCTCTCTACATTATTCACATGCAGTTTCAAATGTGAGATATACAGTTCAAGATAACACTGGAAAAACACCTGTTGATATCTACATTCAGAACTTGCTACTGAACAGTGATGTGAGTTAAACAAGGAATATATTATTACATCTGAGAAGAACAATAGCAACAATACTAGTACCAGCAGACACAGTAAGTGTAAGAATAAAAAGAAGAACAAAGATGATAAGAAGAAGAAATTCTCTGATCTTATAATCTCACAACCTGCAGCTGTCAATGCAGTAATTGCTTTTTCAGCAACTATTGATATAATAAGCAAACCTTGATTTCTTGACACATGTGCAAGTTTCCATATAACAGATGAAAAGCAGTTTCTCATTCAGTGAAAGATGTATAATGACAATATGAAGATTCACACAGTGAACAGAGATTACAGCCATATCAAAGAGATCAGTGATCTTCTTCTAGAATCTGAAGAAGAGAATATCACTGTTCACAATATTCATTATATTCTCAATCTCACAGTCAATCTATTGTCATTTACCAGGTTGAAGAATCAGAGTTTTCAATATAAGCTTTTAAGCTTGAACACCCTGTTCTATTTCATCATTAAAGTATCAAGTGAAGTGATATTCACTGTAATTCATACATCTCAAAACTCAATTTATAAAATAGTTGAAAGAATGTCAGAAGTTGATGTACATCATGAGTCTAAAGTAGTCTACTTCACAGTGAAATCATATGTATATGATAATGACTATACTAAAGTCATGGCCACTATTGATGATAATGATCCCACTGTTGATCAATCTCAACATTAAGAATCATCTATAACTGTGAAAACACTTGCAGAGTAGCATGTTGATCTGAGACATATACATATAAGAGCTATTATAGCATTGATAAAGAATTCACTATCTAGCATTTGTGTCAAAGACATCAAGACTAATTTCTTTTATGACATCTGTGTTAAAGCGGGTATGACATGTAAATACTCAATCACTCTCATACTACAAGTAGTACACTCAATGAAGTGAATTCATATTGATCTTGCAGGTGATGAGTGAACATTGAGTGAGTCTACAGACTACTCTGTTGAATTGTGACAGAGTAATAAATATTACATGTTAATTACAGATGACATGATCAGATATAGATGAATCTATTTCTTATATATCAAGGACTAAGCTTACAATTACTATACACACTGAGTTCAATTCATGAAGAATCTAGGTTTTACTGTACCAGCATATATCAGAACTGATGTTGATGATGTGTTCAGATCTATGAAGATTACAGCATTGTTTATCAATTATAACACAGTATGAGAATCAACTACTTCTCAATCATCATATCAAGATAGCATGTCTGAGTGTGAAATATGTATGATTATGGCCTGCGTCAGGGCAGTTCTTATCAGTAAGAAGATTCTGAAGAAATTCTGAGTGAATATTCTGAAAACAGTTATTTCAATCATAAATAATACACTCACATCTACAGTTCTATATAATGAAAAGTATTGATCTGCAGTTGTAGATGATGATAGCAAAGAAGCTGTTCATAGCTCTTATACAATTTCTTTTTCAGCATTGATAAACACTCTGCTGTAGATCACACATTTTCACAAGCTTGAAACTGATGTTTTTACTCATCTTCATGAATTGCAGAAGCTGTTGAATAAGTTGTTCACATAAGCTGATTTATATAAGCTTATTGAATTCTGCAGACATTCAATCTATCACTTGTGAAGTTCTACAACAGATAAAATTATTGATATAAGTGATGTGATTTTCTCTGTAAAAGTGCAAGAAATGCTGAAGATTACTACAATTACTACAACTGCAGTAACTGACACTGTTTCTATCATCTATTTAATGAAGGATTCTGACATTTCTGAATTGATAAGTACAGATTGAATGCAGCTGATAAAGGCATTTACAGCTTACACTCTCATTCTCATTACTGATTCTCTTCTGAAATCACACAAGAATGCTATGAGTAGATTAGAGATGATGAGAGATTATTGAAAGAAATCAATACAATGTAAAATATCTGACCTTAAGAGATGCAAGATCTGAACACTTATTTCATATTCTGATGTCTTATATAATGAATCAGTAATATCTGATCACTGAGTATTCATTGAAAAGAACTGCTCTGATGATCTCAATGCTGATGAGAATGATATATTATGAAAATCTTAATAAGTCATATATGATAACTGATTGAAGAAAGACACTTGTCAGAAGACTTACATCTCTGTGATTACAGATATAATAAATTGAATGATGTTTATAATTGCTGCAAAGTGTGATTGAACTCTATAATAAGTGAATATAGTAATAATATATCTGTATGATAGATTAGAAAAAACAGTCTATATAAGATAACTCACAGACTTTGAATAAGAAACTCAGTGTATACTTATCTGTGCAGTTGAAGAATCTCTATATAAATTAAATTCAGCTGTTAAAATATGATATGACTACTTGACAGCTATACTGTGAGAAAATGACTTCAGCTCAAGTTCTTATGATCCTGCTCTTTGAAAGCATTCAGCCTGAAAACACCTGTATATGATTATATATGTTGATAATCTTTATATCTTTGTGAATACTCTGAAGAATGCTGATTAACTTGTCAACATTTTACAGCAAAAACTAGAGATCAAAGACTTAAAGAAACTCACAAAATATCTAGAAATGAAAGTGAAATATATGAAGAGTGAAATCAAATTAATACTTCAATATTACATTAATGAATTGATAGAAGATTTTCACCTAGATGACACAATCACTGTCTGTACACTCATGAATGAGAATCTATGTCTAGATGACTCTCTCATCTCTGAAAAGAAAAGTGGTTTTACAAAGTGATAATTTCAGTATAATATTGAGTGTCTGCAATACTTAGCTGTCAAGCTGCAGTCAGATATCATCTGTGCAGCATCTCTACTGATACAGAAGAACACTGCTCTCATCTCTAAGATATGAAAGGCTCTATTACATGTCATTCAATATTTGAAAGAAATGCATGAGATTAGCATATTCTATACAAAGAATGATAATGAGGAATCTGAGAATGAATTTCTGAACATGGCATACATATCAGTCAGATATACAGATTTCAATTAAGCCAGTCTGTTAAATGATGATTGTAAATCTATATCTGATTATATCTTCAAATTGAGAAACACACTGATTTCATGATAATTGAGCAAGCAACTCTGTGTATTCTTAAGCTCTAATGAGGCTGAATATGTGGTATTGAGTGATGCTGTATATAAAGCAACATGATTAAGAAGTATGATGATGAATCTGAGCTTCATTGAAACAGAAGATCCCCTGCCAATCAAGACAGATAATAAGAGAGTGATTGATCTTGTCACAGTGACTGCAATCATCATGAGAAGTAAGCATATTGATATCTGATTTTATTACACCTGCAGTCAGTTGAACAATGGCATAATCTCAATTGATTACATCTCAACTGAAGAAATAGCAGCAGATGAATTGACTAAACCCTTGAACACAATTGCATTTCATCAATTCCTTGATTTACTAGGTTTTACAGGTGAAGAGGGACAGAATACACAAACTCAATGCAGGTAGCATGATTTGAATGGATTTGAGGATGGCATAGCTAGATCTGCAAGAGATGATTGATTCTTTATTATGGTGTTTGTGATCTCGCATGGCGATGCGAGGGGGGGTGTAGCATCCGCCCTAGTGGCGTTGCCGTAGCGACCACTCCGCCTACACGTGATCTCATATGTAATATATATAGCTAGCTCTTCCTACACGAATACAACAGATTAACCATCCCACAGATTACAACACAACAACGTTATCCTCCAAGACGCTAGACAATCACATGATCAGCCTCAGCCACAGCCTCGGCTTCAGCCAATTGCTCCACAACCACGCATACAACGTGGGGTTTGCCGTGAGTTATGTATTCCCCTCGCCTTATGCTTCATGCATTGCGGAGTTCATGCGTCCTGGATATTCGCCTCTTGCCAAGCCAACTACTTTGTGAATTCCCAGCTGAAATCTCGAAGGAGATTACCCGCCGTCTTGGTTCGGCATTCGAGGCTATCTATCGTGTAACATACAACCTTTTGTGGCTAATTGCGCTGCGTCCTCTTGTTAGCGCACCTTACAGACAGCATTGAAGTCAAAAAAATGCGCTTCACACTACCTTGTTCCCCGAGCCTACTCTGTATCGATCGATTTAGTCTCCTAGAATCAGAAGCATACGAAGTCCCATTTTGGCAGATCTTCAGAGCCGCAATTACAGCCCGAATTGAAGGATGGGGCGACCTCGTCGGGCTATTGGAAACTATTGCAGTCACTCTTCATTCGTCGAGTCTCCGAGACTACGACACTCTGCGCGGTTTTCTGCAAGATGAATGGGCTTCAAAAGAAACCCACTTTTTCACCGAAGTGTGGCCAGAGCTAGTGCGGTTGGCTTTAGAGATGCCTCAGCTATTCCCTGAGAGTTCTCTCCTTTGCCTCTCCGAAGAACATCGCGAGCTGGAGTTGTCAAGACGACAAGTTGGGTGCTTAGTCATCCACCAATTCCTCTGCTCACTACCTAAACAGCCATGGGCTACAGACAGTTCCCAGGACTTTCGAATTTGGTACTCGTAAGGCTCCAGACACTTACTGGCAACCCGGGCCTATTTAAGTTCCCTCTTCACCTACTTTCAGCGACTAAGCGGCGTAGGAGATGAGACACAGCGTGTACTTTCCCCACTCATGAATGAATGGCGTATCATATTTACCTTGCGCATTCTCCAAGAAAACCAGGTTGTACAGCTCGATCCGTCCCTACTAAAGTACCCACTCTGCCGGTTAACAGTCGTCCACCTGCCAACCGCATCAACCGAGCCGTCGCTGCTCGGACTTCCTGACGGGGCGTGTGTCATCTCAGCCAACAAAAACGTTGGCTTTGGACAAACGGGCACCCAAGAGGAAACCCAAGTGGGATCATCACCAGAATCTTGCCCTGTTGTCCTGCTCACACCCACGCTGCAGAATAATCAAGTGTTGATCGTACAGGGCGCTGAGGCCATGGTCACTATCAAAGGATACGGACGCGAAGCCAGGCTTGATTCCGTCCTGACAGCTGATTATGGGTTTTCAGCCGGGGATTCGCAATGGTCAAAATGGCGACGACGCACCATGCTCTTCATGGATGCTCTGCAGTTAGACCAGTTTATTGTGGACAAGCGAAAAATTGCGGATCATCTTCCTGGGCACGTAGATCGCGAATTGCTCAAGGCATACAATGCTTTCAGTAGCAGCCCTGGAAAGGGTGAGTGCAAGAGTAACTATACCGAAATAGTTACTGGGCTTTGGGGCTGTGGCGCTTTTGGCGGTAACCCTCAAACTAAAACACTAATACAATGGTGTGCTGCTTCGATGGCCCAGACAAATCTACGGCTCGTCTTGTCAGGCGAGGATCACTTTGCCCTGGCGAGTGAGCTCAACGAGACCGTGAAGATGACGCGCGAGGGATTGTGGACGGTCAAAAATGTTCTTGACACGGTTGGTGCGCTGAAGCCTTATGACTGACCTCGCGTGTCACGGGTAGATCCTGTTTGAACACCGCAGCCGTGAGCCTAACCGGGTAATGAGGTATGCTCCTGCAATTCGTTCGAGATAACTTGCGATACTTGGTCGGATGCGGATCGCACGCGACGTTAGGAATGATGCTCAACTGCAATGGACCCTACCCTGCTCCGCCCTAAATCAATCATATTAACAATGTGCAGGAGGAGGTGCTTCATGGTTGGTCGAGGCCGCATCTAAAGTAAGATTACATGGACTTTCCCGCCGTTAAGAAGAGGAAACGCTATATAAAGGGGATAGGGGACGTTTGCTGTTAGACGCATGATTACCGTGAAGTCAGTGTCATACATAGCCTCCATACATACAAGCAAGTTTTTAAGTTTTACGTTGCGCATGATTCTTTGATCTTCTGATCTGTTCATGAGATCTCCACTTATTCAGCCCGCCAATTGTTTGCTCGGCCCCTGTAAGGCTGAGCTCCGAGGTGACCTAGATATTCTTTCTTCCTTTTAGCCTCCATCTTTCTGGATTTCCCCTGATTGGACAACCATACGGGTATTTGTTTTTTTCATAATCTGCTGGCAGGTTCTGTGCTGTTTCCCTCGCTTGGAGGCACGGCTCCGAGAACGGCTGCATTTCGATGCATGAATAAAAAAAACTCGCAACGCTGCGCGGCGCATCACAATCCTTGAGGTAAATTAAGGATATTGTAGAATTTGGTTTTTGAGCCCTTCCAACTCCTGGGATACCCTCCTTGCGCTGCGTTTTCTTGGGCGTTTGAAAGTAGCCGTAAAAAAGAGTGTCCGCGGAAGTCATATATTCAATAATTTATCCGAAGATCCTCACAGGCCTGCAATTACAGCAATACCATACCATCGTTATCATTCCAGCTCTGCCGGTCGTGGTGGCAAAAAATACTAGCCAGGGCTATCAAAAGCGGCATAAATGGGCGGCGTTGAACAACTTCGCATCGCATGCCTGTTAGCCGCTGAAACCACAGATTTTCTATGGCCTGGGTGTGACCCCTTGCTGGCTTGGCTGGTTAACACGCCCGGGGCCTCTTTCGGCAAGGTAACATTCAGGGAAGCAAATAAAATCGTCCGCAGCATGGCATTTGCTGGTTGGCCAGCAGTCCCTCCAAATCGCACACAGAGCCTGCGTCTTATGCGGCCGTCACCGGAGGCAGAAGCCAGGGCCTAACTATGCAAGATGCGCATGCAGGCCATTGTTGTGTCTGGGCCATCCGGGAAGAGCTGTCAGAGGAAGATGGAGATCTTTTTTTTTTTCTTTCCCTTGTTGGCAAAGGCCGTAGCTAGATAGGAAAAGCACATTCGTTCCCCAGTAAAGCAAAATACCGTATATACTTGGGAAGTTGCCGCGTGTGCGTGCATACTCTGCTCGGAAAATGTCGCTATCTCCCCTCCATTCAGCTTTTTCTCCCACTCTCTCAATCCCCTTTCCCTCTCTCCTTCTTTTTCAATCTTCGCTGTCTAGTTACAGGAATGACGAGGATATAATTCTATTTTGCCTTCTCTCTGTTCTGTTTCATTCACTCGTTGTGTTTCATTCTTGTCGTTCATTCTTTGGCCGGAAAAGCAAACGCCACACCGTCTGACCAGGCCAGCTGTACTGGAGCTCACCATCTCCACCACAGGCGCCTCCCTGGAGATCTTCTCATCGAGAAAATTGGATTCTATGAGCCTACGGAGCATTTAATCCGCCACTTAATTATTTAATTCCTTAATTACGAAATGACTGTTCTACGAATTGCTTCAAATCCTTAATTACTACTCTATATATACTCCTACATATTTGCACCGGTGTCGGCAGACGGGTTTTGGGTGGTGTCTTAAATTCCTCAGAACAATTGTTGAAGACATCAAATTATTATCTTCTTTCCATCGTTGACCATTCCGCTCGCTACATTCTCAATTCGTCCTCCCGCGCCAGAATAAAGGTGCGTCACACAGCTCGAAACTGACTTCTCATCCTTCGTGCTGGATAGTTATCCCCTCAATTCGACCCGCATATTTCCTCCTCCCTGTTATAATTGCGGCTGCTTCGGACCCTTTCAACAATTCTACTGTGTAGTTGCAAGGGTGCTTCACGCCAATTGGATACTACCCCTAGGACTACGCGCTTTGGACGCGAGGATCAGAAGCTCGCCTCGCCTTTTTACCCATAAACGCGCAAAAGGAGGCTTCCCGGGGCCTTTATTAGTTGCCTACATTTTATTGTTCCTATTGCAATTTCCACCGGGTAGCTAGTGGCGCTAAGGCTGCCGTTCTCGACCCCCAACCGGTCCTTTCGCTGGTGTAGCTCCAGCGACCTCCAGCAACGGCGGTTCGCTTAGAACTCGTGGTTTCTTTGTCAGACAAGTCGCGAAAACAAACGGATCCAGGTTGCTGAGGAAGCAAGAAAGGAATCTTACGTCCCGGGAGCGACATTCTTGATATATATAAAATCAACCTGCGAACACAATTTAGGATTGGACTTAATAAACAATGCCCCCCGACAGATCATGTTTTACGGCGCTGAACCTGCCGCCAAGTTTCTCCTTTCCGGAGCGCATGGACTATTTTACATTGGCCGCAGCACCCAACACTGATTTATGGCGCAAACCGCCGGACGGCGACACCTCGACAGCGCCTATTTTGTTCACTTCACTCCTGCAACCATTCGTTATTGCAGAAGTGACAGTCACTGCAGACTGGGAGATGGAATGGGACCAGGGCGGCTTAGTTATATTCGCAGGCCCAGCACCTTCCCAGCAAACACCGCCACGGTCGAATATCGGTCGTAATAATGTTAATGATAATAATACTCACATCATCCCGTCGGCCCAATCACCTCGAGAGCAACCAGCACCACCTCCATACCCGCAGGTACCCCGCCACACCCCCTGCAAATGGGTAAAGGCTGGTCTGGAATTTTCATCTGGAACCGTCAACGCTTCCTCCGTCAGTGCTACGGCGGATGGTGCAGATTGGTGTCTGTCCCCCTTGGCCATGCCCAACCAGCCCACAACAATCAACTCGCTGCGGATAAAGCTCGAGCGCGTTGGCCACTCACTCTGGGTATGGTATCAGCTGCCTTCAGCAGTCACCCCTTACCCATGCACGCCTGGTGCGCTGAGTAATACCTGGCGAAAGCTCCGCGAGGTCACCTGGTTCTTTTGGGGTGTCGAGGACAAGAGTGTCCATGTCGGTGTGTATGCTAGTCGTCCAGCAAATTTTTCAATGAATAGTAGTGCCTGGGCGACGAGGAATAGGAGTCGTTTTGTCCGAGATGCGACTCAGGGACCAGGACAAGGGGCTGGGACTGGGGCTGGTGGAAATGGTACTGGAAATCACCCCATGGTCGATGGAACAGGGCCCGATGGACTGGTCGTGGAGTTTGAGGATTTGGAGATTTTTTGAGAGTGTGATCATGATTTAAGTAACTTTCCTGCTTTATCGTCTTTGCTATTTTCTAGTGACGGGGTTTCAGGACAAGTTCGGGGTTGATTTGGGTTTATCTGCGGGATTTGGTTCTTTTCTTTCTCTCCTTTTTTCCCTCCTCTTCTTCTCAATTTTTTATTTGACGCCCTCTATTGACATTCATGAGGTAATAATTGACTGATCAAGAACACCTACGAACATTTTCTTGCACGGGCACAAACGCAATTTGAATCTACCAGCATCATATCTTAATATCTTTCTTTTTAAATATTGCCATGTATTGTGTCTTTACATACCATTTACTATATATCACGACATCTATATTTTTTCCTACAACTTTTACAAATTGTCTTTTGTATTCCTGCACAAAGGAAAATTTTCATCCCTGAAACCGCTACTAGCTTGGACAACCTAACTGTGAGAGAGGCGAATTTGACCTCTTTAATATAATCAGAATGAATGAACGGGGAATGGGCGATTGTATCTATAAATCTATTTCAATAATAATTTTTCAGTTTCCTACAGTATGTAACATAAAATGTAATTCACCAAACTCGGCTCCTCGCGGCCTTGAGTCTTTCCCCTGAATGCTCATCATAAAAAAAGTCCATCGCTGCTGTGATCAGAGGGCCTTTTGGTGCCAATTCCCTAACAAAAAGAACAGAAAACTGAGCATTATCCAAGCTTATCCATCCCTTACGACAAACAAACATAAAATAAAATAAAATAATTTACTAATTCTCCTTAAAACTCAGTAAAACTACGGAATAGATATAACAAGACTCAGAGAGCTGAGTCAGCTCTTATATCACACAGTTTCAGTGAAACTTCAGAGATTTTACAATTTGAATCTCTTACTCTGTATTGAGCTCTCATAATAAGATTTCAGATTTCAGTGTATCTCATCACAATGAAATTATCATCGCAACATTACTTGTATTTTTTGTAAAAAAGAGACGAAAATGTCACCATTGGCGCGTAACCGTCGATGAAAATGACATGCAACAAAACAGTCGAAGAAACAGAATCATATCACGTTGTACAGTTTTGCGCTATAGTTTGTGAGATTGGATTTTACTATTGAAAATGGTTCAAGTAACGGTATATAGTCATAAAGCCGAGTTCTAACGCATGGATAGAGGGGGAAGATCGAGATTGGCACCGCAGCATTCTCTGCGAATCAGTTCTCTGTTTATAAATAATGTAAATTCTCTACGCTTTCATGCGTTTCTCAAACTAGTTGTTCAATAATACGGGGATTAGCTGGAAAACATATGAAGAAAAGGGAAGATAAATAACTTGAAGTAGAGTAGGCTGTAGCAATAATGGAAAGAATAGTTCTTTTTTCATTGCAAAATCTTGACTTCGTAACAATGTCATGCAGCGTGGGGGTACATGTGCCATACATAGCTCATATCGAACTGACCACAACACGAGTAGGAGAGTAATTCGAAGTAAAGCCACCCATCCAAGACCGGGCCTCTTTAAAGACAAAATAGCTGTAACTGTTTCCCGCAGCCAAAAGCTTCCTGCAGCCAGAATATCAAAGTTCATAACCATAAAACTAAGTATTCCAAAGCATGATTGAATCATCTTAGTTCTGCTTTCCAGCGTCGTCATAACTGTGAACGCAAAGTTGCTGAGTGCAAGGCCCACCCGGAGGAGTGCATATTCCACAACTGGAATTACAGCACACCTGGCCTGCAGGGCATACCCTCCGACCGCATTGAGCTGGTTCGCAATGTTGCTCCGTGCACTTTCCACCAGGCGGAGTGCAGAAACCGCAGCTTTCGTTGCAGCAGACCTCGCCTTGAGGGCAGGTGGTTGTCCCACATTTGACGGGCGTTGGTGGGCAGAACATTTTAGTACACCCCTGGCCCGGCCGGGCACAAATGCCGCAGCTCTCGTTGCAGCACACCTCTCCCTTGATGCAAGTTTTGGGGCCGCACTGTACGCATCCGACTTTGGGACCCGGTAGGGGGTTGGCGAGTGCGCCCAAGGTCATGGCTAGGAGTAGCAACCCTTTGAGAGAGAAAGTAGAGGAAGACATTTGTAAAATCGAATTTTGGGGTGGTCCGAGTCTTGTCGTTGGGATTGGAATGTGGCTATGTGAAGGATAGCAGTCAGGAAATATGGTTCGGAACGGATGTCAATTAAATCAAGACAGCTAGATAGGCTTGAGAATTTCCAGTGAGAAAATCCAACCATGAAACAGGGGTAGAAAGCCTCCTTTATATGCAGTAAGATTTGATAAAGTGGGAAGAGACGCAACTCCGGGGGAGTTCCTTTGTACATGTCAGCTTGCTTATTTTATACGAAGATCTACCTCTACCTTTTGTCCATAGATTAAATCTCACGGCTGCATTCCTGCCAATGCCAGCCAACCTGTTGATGCCCGTATTTGACAAGTGACGAGGAGGAGGTAAACCTAAAAATGAAACTTGGTGAACCACAGCGCCGAACTGGAAGCGAAAACTTCGTCGATCCACGCTATCAGCGCCATCTGAGTTGCTAGGCACAGCTCGTTCCTGCAACTGAAACTAGCTTGTCGAAGTGTGCTAGCAGAGCAAACATTTCCAGCGAATGTGAGAACATATTTGGATCTGGCCTGGTAAGAATTCGAGACACCAAGAAAGATCCATTCATAGCCAAGCCCTCGATCGAGTAAAGTCGCCAGTCGAACTTCAGCCAACCGCGTTTCTTTCCCCTTCTGGGTACTTTGCTGGGTCCGGGCCAGCTGGGGCTAGCCAAAGCACCTTCGCATTTTATATGTGCTTTGGCTTCCGAGATTTTCTTGACGTTAAATTTCGGAAATTACGCAAGAAAAAAGAATTTCAAAATTTCACCAGCCCTATTCAGCATCAACTTTCGAATTTCAACGACACGGGACACGGGGTTGGAGAAGTTGATTCAGTTGGCAGCTGTGTGTGTACATGTACACGAGTAGTTCCGAGGCCAGGATGCGTGTCTCAGGTAGTTATCACAGCAGGGCGGCTTGATGAATGCCGCTGACATCGAATGGAGACAAGATAAACACCCTGTCAAAAAGTTCCATAGGGATAAGCTACCAACGAGCCATGACTTCGTGTTTGGGATGTGGTTGATTTAAGGCTGAGTGGGGAACCAGTTCGTGGCCAGCAAATGAGGGCAATCCCAGCCGCACTAGCAGATGCCATCAACCATCAAGTGACAACACGAGGCTTCCAACGTCCAACGCCGCTTCGACCATCCGATAGATATATGATCTGTTCGGCTTTTTCCCAACCACCACGACCATAGCCACAACGACGGGTGGAGTCCCGCGCGCCGAAAACCTAAGCTGATAACCGTCACATTATCATGGCTTATGGGAGATATTTGTACGCGGTGAAAATCTGCTGTTAAGAAGAGCAGTCACTCTAGGGATTCCGAGGGCTGGACACCTTGATCAACCATTGGTCATCCACAAAATATCGTAAATGCGGCATTCTGAACACAGGACGTTTAATAGCCGCAGACGACATGCTGTTTCCCTTATAAAAGAAGGCTACCGGTGGGCGCCCGTCCTCGAGAATATCGAGTAGATGTTATCCGTTGACCGAGGTTGCATTGAAAGAGGGGGGATAATCCCCAGTAAGTGAGCCTATTCTAATTGTATACTAACTGTTACACAATTGGGACCCATTGTCTGCCATTTCTATTATTATTATGCAGGATCTGCCCGGAATGACAGCTAAACCGTCGTGAACGCAGAGTTCCATGTCACAATGTACAGTACATTACGAACTTCACGCACTATTAATCTAGGGATTTTTTCGCAAATTACAGCAATAAAGTATCAGTTGATTTGCCACGGCTGAGAATCTGGGATATGGATTCTCCAAATTCATCGGCAACGAGAACGAGTTTGGAATCTTCCAGTACTGAAGCCCAGTACGTGAACGTAGCTTCGACCGTTTCCTTCCCGACGCAGATGTTGATAATAATGTCATACTATTCCCACTGTCAGTAACTCGACTTCTCATGGAACGATGTTAATGACCTACCTCCGTCGCCTCATACGTCTCTACCTCTTTGAAACGAATTTCGCCCTCCCCGTTTTCAGTTGACAAAGGCTGTTCTACCGACATGCAGGTATTGAATAGCGGTTTTCCGAAATGCCTGGACTGTTGCAAAACATCTATTAGTGAGCAACATCCATTTCGCAGCCGGTTTCTGTTCTCTGCCTGGTTTCTCGCTAAGACATCGCTACACCTGTCTTCAATCGTGAATCGTAATCGACAAACAAGCACGTTGAAAAATGAGCCAATGATATTATGGATTTCCGGGATCGGAACGTCACGCCCAGATATAACCATTCCAAAACACACGTCGTCCAACTGCGTGTATTTCCGCAATACCATACCCCAGGCAATCTGAAAAATGTTGCTCTTGGTGACCCCCTTATCAAGGCAGAAGCGATTCAGCAAAGCTTTATCAGCAACTTCTCTACTCATGGTGCGAAGCCCCTTTTGACATCCGTTACTTTGGATTTGGGGAAACATGCAAGGTTGGATATCGACCATTTGGGTTATCCAGTAGTCCATCTGGCTTTTGAAATCAGCGATATCGTAAAAGTATGCAACGGCGGATCTGTATAGCGGGGCTGGGGAGGAAGAGAGCTGTCCTCTGTACGCCTTTGACAGCTCTCGTAATATTATTAGGAGTGAAGTTGCGTCTAGAAAAGCGTCATTTCCCTCGAGCTTGCAGAAAATACGACCGGATTCGGTTTTGCAGATGGTGAATTGATATGGAAGCGCACCGATGTCTCTGTTACTCAAGGAAGACTTGCGCAACAGATCCGTAACTTCGTTATCCGTACATGAGAGGATTTGGACTTTGATATTTGATGTCTTCCGTACAACGTGGATCTTCTCCTGGCCGTTGGTTCCGCGACTAAACAAAATCGTTCTCAGGGCCGGGTGGCGCCGTACAACATCCTCCCATGCATTTCCTAGACGCACTGGCCACACAGCGCACTGGGGGACTTTTGAAGTTACTTCCCATATGGTATAAGACTGGTATTCAAAGGCATTCAGCGACTGGGTGACAAGAAGCCCTTCATGCACCCGGGTGCATGGGTACGCATCTTCTATTTCGTCGTAAGCAATTCCCAGGTTAGCTTTGAGCCTGAATTCGAATTTATCTTCTTCAGCAGGTGACAAGGAAAGCAAAGCGAACCGGGCCATCTGTTGTTTCCTTTCACTAGGTGTGGATGGTGGTGTTAGCTCCATAGAAGGCTTTGCTTTCGATGCTATGAGTTTGACGGTTTTTGCGTCGAAAACATCCAGAGCGGTCAGCGACAAGCCATCTTCTCTGCACAGAGTGACCAACTGTATTGCAGAGATCGAGTCACCGCCTAGTCTGAAGAAGTCATCGTCGATACCGACCTCGTCTGTTTCCACACCGATGACTCGTGCAATAATGTTTCTAATTTTTTCCTCGTGTTCTGACACCGGGCCCTGAGATTCATTGGGGCATGATATAATCGGTTGGAGGGAGCTTAAGTTTTTTTGAGAAACCGCGAATCGCAGGAGGTCTTTGTCGGGCTGGGCGGCAGCCGTCCGCGGTACATAATTGATTGGGAGACAGAGAATCGGCAACATACTCCAAGAGAGAGCTCTGTTCATATAATCCATCAGCTCACAAAGTTTGAGCTTGAACTTCTCCTCTGGAACAGCGAAGAGCGCTGCCTCTGTGTTTTGATGTCCCGAGTTCTCGCAAACAAAGACAGTGAGCCTCTCTTCACACAGATCTTTGGGGCAAACCATTTCAACGACCACTTGGTACTGTTTGCCTAGGTAGTTTTGTGCTTGGGACTCAGCGTCGCGCAAGAGACCGGACTCGTTCATCCGTTGCCCTGTATTGGGAATTAAGCTCCCGATTCTTTGGGCTGGATTATCTGTAATACTGTGGAGGACATGGTCAAAGCGCTCCAGCATTATCTGCGTCTCATCGTGCTTCAAAACACAGCTATCAAAAACGGCAGTGATAGACAATGACCGTTCCCCGGAGAGTTCACACACCATTGTTAGCGGATGGGTGCTAAATTTCAGCTGTTCGGCGGAATTGTCCGGAGATTCCGTAAACAGGTTGGAAGAGACTGTAGTCTTCCGTGGCTGTATAACGAGCAAGGTTTGGAAATCACACGCTGCAGATGCTTCTTGTCCATAACTTCTGATTCGTCGCAATCCTGTCTGTTCGAACTGAATCAGTTTGGTTGCGTGCTCTTGCATTTCCCTGAGTGTTTCTTCGATGCTTAGGGCAGGGTGAAGTATAGTGCGAAGCGGAAACGTAGCTATGGTGGGTCCTGTCATTTGATAGATCCCAGGGACCGGAGCGCCGCGACCAGCCACAGTGACCCCGAAGACCACGTCATTGGTTTCCATATACCATGAAAGAAGGGTGGCGAACGCCAATCTAATCACTGTGGATGAAGTATAACTACCCCTTGGCCATTCGGAAATCACAATGTGCCGGGTGACGGTTCTGATGGACATTGGGCTGTACCCTACCGGGACGAGTGGACATGGAAATCCTATTGTTCGCAGCCCTTGGAACTCTGCACTCCAGAAATGACGCGCAAGCCCGGGATTCAAACGGTTGACATACTCTATAAATAGCGTGAAAGGCTGCGATGGTAAGTGTATTCCGTTATATGCATTTTCAGTGGCATCCAAGATACGCTGGTATGACCATCCATCAAACAGAGCATGATGAATTGTGAGGGTGAAAGTCAATGGTACTTCCTCGTTCCCTTCACCAGCAAGTGAAGTTGAAACTAGGGGTGCCCCGAGCGACATGAATTGTTCAGGAAATTCCAATTCATTTTCAATCAATTGACATTGTGGGCCCCCTTCGGAACTCACAACCTGGAATGCTTGAAGTGAATCTGCCAGAATAATTCTCGTCCGCAGAATGGGATGTCCATCGCAAACCTCTGCCCAGGCTCTCTTAAACCGAGCCACATCGACGTGTCTTGTCATTTGAAAGTGGAAACTACATTGAAGTGAGCCAGGCGATCTTGCCGTGTATGCAATGAAAGACTCTTGCAAGGGCGTGCAAGGATATATGTCTTGAATGCTTTCAGGGCGGATGCAGCATTTGCTCGCTGCGCTCGAGATCATCGTCCCCTTTCCCATGGAGTTCAACAGGGAAAACGGCGGCGGTTGTTGTTGATCGTGGTTCGCTTGATCTGCTGCTATATTACGTGCCAAATTGGAAATCGATTGATCGGCGAACAGAGATTCCACCGTGATTTTGAGCCCCTGTTGACGTGCTGTTTCCACAAACCTGACTGCAGAGACAGAGTCTCCACCCAGTCTTAAAAAGTTATCATCCATTCCAACGGTGGTCAATGGCAGACCGAGAACTGTCGCAAGTAACTGTTGGACAAGCTCCTCAATAGGAGTTTCTGCCGGGCTGAGACCTCTGTCCCCACTAGTAGCCATTCGGTAATCTCTCAGCTGGGTCTCTGGTAAATTTCCGACAGCGTTTTGCAACGCTCGCCGATTTACCTTTCCTGTTCGCGTCACAGGCATAGCAGCCAATGGGATGTATGCTGCAGGTACCATATATGTTGGGAGCGCTTTTTGCAAATGAACTTTCAAGCGCGCTACATCTTCGCGAAATTCTCTATCTGGGGCACATATGGTGACACTGGCGACTAATTCCGCTGTAAATACCGGCTGTTTGGCCACGAATAGAACCAAGGAAGACCTTCGTGTTTCGTGAGTTATTATTTCGGCGACAACCATTGCTTCTTTGAGGCATTGTTGTGAGATGTGTTCAATTTCTCCGAGCTCAACCCTTTGTCCATATACTTTAACTTGCGTGTCCTTTCGTCCAATGTAGACAATAGAGCCGTCAGAACTGTATCTTGCCAGATCTCCTGTTTTATAAAACCGGTGGTCTGAGCCCATGCCAAACTCTGATGCCCATTCGGGGCTGCTGATGAATGCAGCTGCGGTCTGCTCGGGCCTCTTGAGATATCCTCGAGAAACGATGGGGCCGCCGATTACAAGCTCTCCGATTGTCCCAATAGCTGCAAGGCAATTGTGATTATCCTTATCTACAATCCAACATGACCCGCCAAACGAGAACCCTATGTTCCCCGGCTCAGTCACATGGGGTTGCACATTAGCAACAACGGTGCATTCCGCAGGCCCATAAGCGCATATCAAGCGCACTTTTTCGTGCCACAGAGCTATGTCCAATGATGTCATGGATTCCCCGCCTAAAATAAGAGTCTTCACTCTCGGCACATCTTCGGGCATTAACAGTTTGGCAACCGTTGGCGTGAGTTCTGCCCAATTGACATGTAAATCTCGAACTGCATTTTTCAGATCATTCAGCCGTTGAAACTCGGAAGGGATACAGACGCACCCTCCGAGTATCAACGTAGTCAAACATTCATGAATACTGATATCGAAGGCATAAGATGCGAACTGGAGGACCCTGGATGAACTGTTGAGATTTTGAGCTTTACTGCTGGCGATTGCGTTAGAGCAGAATGAGGCATGCTCAATTACAATTCCTTTCGGCGTTCCTGTCGATCCTGACGTGTAGACTACATATGCAGGGTCGTGGGATTGTACTCGTGGCTGGTTTGGTGACGGATCCAACCCCCAAGAGCGAGTACAGTCACCAACTGCTATTGTTGTGCAGCTTAAGTTATGCTGTACTAGCCAATCGGCACAGATGATGACATCTGCTTCAACATCTTCACAGATATCCCGCAAGCGCTTCTTGGGATACGTAGAGTCCAACGCAACGAAGGCAGCACCGGCCTTAAGGACCCCTAACATTGCAACAACTGCCCATTTAGACTTTTCGAAAAGGAGAGGAACTATGGATCCCGATCCAACATCCAGGGCTGATAATCGTGCCTGGACCCTCCAAGACAGGGCGTCTAGGTCTTGGTAGGTCATGTCCCCATCCCAAGCACATACTGCTTGAGAATCGGGATGAAGCATACATTGCAAATGGAATAGTGCATGGATGCAACAATCGAGAGGGTACGTGGGTGCTCGGGTATTCCATGCAGATATTTGCTGCTTGTGATAATCACCCAATAGCGGCGACTCTGAAAGTGCCCGCGACGGGCTACATGAAAGACATCCGAGGATTGCACCCAGTGTGGCAATCACGTTACGAGCCGCGGGATGGCTCAAGATCGAAGTTGAATAGCGCATCGAAACTTGTGGTGCGAGTGCTGACGAGTTCACGATTACTGAAATATCCTCAATCTAAAATGGCACGATTGTTAATGGACTGTGAGCAACCATGTTGACAGTCAACATTATGGAATTTCTTACCATTGGGAGGCGATCGCCATCGTTCGAAATCCATCCTAGAGTATCAACGTCCTCCCACAGAAGGCAGGTATTGAAATGTTCGTGGCGACTACACTCTACCGTTGGCCATTCCCGAAGTTTCTGAAGACGGACGGAGTTGGAGATCGGAGAGCTTGCGTCTACCACTGCTACCACCTGGTCTATCACATTCCCCTTCAGATCTTCTCCGACGCCAAAAGTGACGGTGTCGGAGTCGGTGTATTTGTGAAGAAGTATAGACCACCCAAATTGAACTAGATCGAACAGGGGTGCGGTATTTTCTATGGCCGCCTGTTTTGTGACGTATTCGAGGCAACCATGATCCAAATATACCAACTCAAACTGGCGACCTTCTAGGCCGGAGGCATCTAACTTGGGAAATATGCAACGACGTTCCTGCTGTCTGTGTTCGGACATTGCGCGCCTGGGGTTCTGACAAATAAAATTTATACGTATGATCTAAGAATTGTCGGTGTATGTCATGAATCATAAAGGTTCTTTTAATCGGTCTTCACATTATTTCAAGGTATATATGGTCTATGTGGGGTCTCTGTATTGTGCAAACTTCAATTATATATTGAATCGAAGAGAAACTCCACCAGAAGCCTCATGCGTCAGCGAGATGTTGGAGCCTCCTATGTTTAGAGACAATGAATGGCATTCGACTATCCGGCTCCATATTGATCGGGGGGAATTGATTTGCTATCCTATTCCATTCTACGGTTTTGTGTCCCTGTTTCCCTGTTTCTTTCCCTACCCGCCTCCAGGCTCTCCGAATTGATTCTACCTAGAGATAGGAATTTCACAGTGTGTCATTCCAATCGATGGCTTTTGCTTCTCATCTGAAGATCATATTTGCCATAATCGATGGGATGACCACTGATTGTCCTACCTGTAATCATATCAACCCAGCTCTAGGCAGACTTGAGTCCACATCCCAACCCTAGCCGAAGATGCTTCCTCATCCCAAACGTGAGCCCACCATGCCGACCAGCTATTTCGTCTATTCTCTAGTGCCACAAAATAGCAATTGACCACATCTGAGATTCGTATACGCCCGAGCTTCCGGCAAGCAAGACAATTGAACATCTAGTCTGCGCAACCCACCTAGAAATTGTCTAAGGATATTGAGGAGACCCGGGAGAACGGTTGCTGGTCATTCTACATGCATTGTTGGAAAGACATGTGTTTTTACGGCTGGAGAGGGCATCGCTACGGATCTACCGAAGAAGGCTTGGCGAAGTTGCTACTGCGATAGTTACATCGAATGGAACAGAAACGAAACTTGCAGCCGTCAGCCAGCCATTCCAGCAACATGGATACCCAATGTCAAGATTTCCTGTTAGGTGTAATCGATGCAGAGTGTCCAATGGATGCAAACAATCATTCAAGATGGTAGGCCACCTGGGGACCGCTTTAACAAATTCAGAAATGATGTTCTGAAGTGGGTAGTACTGGCATTGGAGCGCAGTTTCTAATCTCTAATTTGATTGAGTGCATAAGATCCCAAATCACAAAGATTCTGTCGTGAAATTTCCGTCTTGCGGCTTCATTCCTTCCTGAATATACTAAGATCCAGTATTTAACTGGGGAACCATCCCGGTTTACCCATCAATAAAATTCCAACGAGGACTTGCCGTTGAACTTCATATTTTGACCAGCTCCCGCAACACATGATGGCAACCGAAAACCCCTTGACTGGCGTGACTCTCCCTCAAGAAACTCTTCCCCAGCAATCGGATACAGCAGATTCGCAGTCATACCACTTGTTGAACAAGTGCTTCACTTTCCCCAATGTTGATCAAGAAGAATGGTGGAATCGAACGGGCCCAGTCTTGGGGAAACTGCTTTCGGACGCGAAATATGATGTCCAACACCAATTTCAATGCCTATGCTTTTATGCCCTGAACGTCATCCCCTTCCTTGGCCCGTTTAAGCTCTCACGAACCTCAGGAGGCTACGAGTCATCTATGGGATCACGCATCGGACCGTTTGAACTCAGCCAAAATTTCACCAAGGATCAATCCGTCATTCGAATGAACTTTGAAGCTACGAACCATGCTACAAATACCGGCCGCGACCAAACTAACAGAGTCGCCTTGGATGAAGCTGTTTCTAAATTCAAACTGTTACGCATTGGGATGAATGCAGATCTATACCACGCATTACGCAATTCGTTCCTGGTGACTGATGAAGAAGAGAAACTGGCCGCTAAAGAAATAGACCTTGCCAATTTCCCATGCAAGACTCAGCATAATATATCTTTGGATTTTAAAGACGGCAACGTGCTAGTGAAGTTGTATCTCTATCCGCGCCTGAAATCTATGATTACAGGCAAACCCCAAAAAGACATAGTACTAGACGCAATTCGACATGCAGCTGGTGGGGCATGCGATCATTCCTTGGAAATGATGCAGAACTTTCTCAAGACATTGCCTCCAACCATGGATATCGAGCTTCTTGCTTGCGACCTCATCGATCCTAAAAAGAGCCGGTTCAAGATATATATTTTCGACCTTCAAGTTGATTTTGAGAGTATTACACGGATCTGGACGCTCGGCGGACAACTTAACGATCCAGAAACATTGTATGGATTGTCATTACTCAAGGAGTTGTGGGAGGCTATGAATATTCCTGCGGGAACGCGCACGATGCCGGACCGAGTCAATAGAGAAGGAGACCCGCCTGACCGAGTCCCCCTGTGCAGTAATTTCGAAATTTTTCCTGGAAAGAGATGCCCGCAGCCAAAGATTTACCTCCCAACTCTAGGTATTAGTGATAAGGCTATCGCCGATGGTCTCACCAACTTTTTTGAGAAACACGGATACACGGAGCTCGCAAAGTCCTACAGCTCTCAGGTATCCTCTTTAATCCCAATGTATATGTACGTCAATTCCGTTTAGCGGTATCCAAGGCCCCCTTCTTGCTGGATCGTTGCTAATCCGTTCATAGGCCTGGGTCCGAGATCGAAACCAGTACGGACTTTCAAGCGTGGGTATCGTTCGCTTACTCCGAGAAAACCGGCCCATACACTACAATATACTACCATTAAACAACTAAACCAGCTCTCGGGGACTATCCATGTGAAGAGTCTCCACGCAGATTTCTCAGCAGCTGCTGTGATATCTTCAATGTCAAGCACTCTGGGTCAATATTCACTCCTAGTTAGCATTCGGTATATTTTCTCGGCTTCCCCCAACCAACCGGCTGTGCTCCTGTGACATATACTTTAAATGTGCACATTAGGATAAGCTATATTGGTAGACATCAGTCATTGCTCGTTTCTATTGTGTCTATCGATTTTTTCCAGTTAATATGTTGAACATGCAACCTGAATACATTTTGATCTTATGCAGGCCGTTGGTGAGATAGTCAATGCTAATTACGTCACACCAGGCCTAGTATCCCAGCCCTGACGCCTGTTTTTCTTCTTTTAACTAATTGCTGAACAAGAAGCGCAGCCCATTTGCTGTTGTCTTCGCTTCCCTCTTTTTGTCCGGAAATGTATCGTACATTACTTTACAGACTTAGCGTCTGATAATATATTAACCATTTTGATAATTCAAGAAGAGATATTTATCTAGAAAGGACAGATGAATCGCTACCAACTAGAAGCTGGGTTTCACAATGGTCAAGCTCCAGAGCAGAATGAGAGTCGACATCGAGACGAACCAGGCTTCGCTACCTTTTGAGGTGCACAAATGTGATGGCTTGTGCATATGTATCTCTCTGGTGGTTAACTGGAAATGATAAATCGCTGACCTGTACCATCTTATAGAGCACGATACTCGATCATTGTAGTTGAATGGTTAATGATCCACAGTAGATTTAGGAAGTCTTTAAATCACCCGTAGAAGTGAAACTATAGTGCTGCTGTCTGAGATTTTTCACACCTTGGAACAAGTAGGCCATGTGATTTGATTACACAACTTTATGCAACCTTAGTAGATCTAAAACATTTAATCTAAAACCTCAGATATTCAGATGGAATAGCTGACTTCTATTTTCAAAAAGCAGCACATGTCAAATGTTCCACATATCAAATATTTTAAAATATCCGGACAAAGCGGAAGTGAGAAGAGCACAGAGATATTTAGAAATTGACATTGAACGGAGGTACGTAAGAATTTACGTCGTATAAAAGGTCATTGTACGTTCCATCCAGTATATCCGGTGGTGCTCTAGTGCATTCTGAGCATCATATCCTACTCTTGAATGAACACCTTCTCCGCCAACAAGTGACACAGTTGCCCGGCTTTACACAACAGCAAGACCTTGTGGGAAGTTTTGTCCTTTCAATGAATATTTATATTAGCTCCCCGAAGCACTAAAACAATTGTTTCTCCTTATCATGAGCGAAGCGTGTAGGGGGGTCATGTCTTTCTCGCCTTGGGTAGATCAAAATCCAAGATTCTTCGGAAGTCCACGGGCGGTCTCCCTTAATTTTGTGCCGATGTTTCTACTGTGGTTTTGATTGTCCTGCCTCATCGACGATGCTTCAACGTCGACGTGGGGTAAATGAAGTAGATAGATCTAACATCTGTTACAACAATCCTTTTGGTAGGCTGGTTGGAAACAATTGGATGCCTGAAACATGTACTTGAAATAGCCCATTGACACAAGCGGAGGTCTCCCTGAGCTTGACAACCCGGTTAGGGCAGTTGCTGACGGTATGCTAAGATAGGATTAATATAGGATGATCGTTGTTTCCAGGTCTTGCTTAGACTTCATGGACCAGGAAAACTTTATCAGCATATCACAATGCAGTCAATAAATGATCGGTGCTGTTGCTGTACAACTTCACCCGTGGTCAAGACACTCCAGACTCTCACCGACAATATATTCATCTCATGGCCATTTTTTGCAATTCAACAAAGGCAGCTGTGGTCCAAAGCACTTGAAGGAGTTATTAACCGTGTGGTACGGAGTCCTCCCCTCTGCTCCACAATATGCATTGGACCATTGGCCTTTCTGTTCTCGCATCGGGCAGCGCGCATGTGATAATACCAAGGGTCTTCGATTTTACCCCAGACACTGCTCAACATGCCACCGAATTTGAAATAACTAAATGAAAATGTTTTCGTCGTTAGCCAACCCTTGACGGATATGGAATTCATAGTGATCAGACCCTTGGCTATGGAAGATCAGAGTTGGTTGTCCTTCTCAATGATATGGCTGTCAAACATCATTGGGTCATAGCAGTCCAACGGATGGCAAATATGGACATTGGTATTGATGCCATTCAACACGAACAAGATATTTATCGATATCTAGGGTATTGAGACAGCATCAGCACATCAGAACCTCCAAAACAACTCTTTACCTTGCATTTATGGGAAATGGTGACTCACATACATATTTAACACGGAATCAACCCTCCGGCTTTCGTGGTTGCGCGAAATTTCACACATATTTGCAAGTCTTCGTGACCGTTCTGCTAAGGAGGCAGATGTTGTTCAACTTTCTACAGAGCTATCTATTCGCTTTCACGACTTTATGGAGCCGTCTATTATGCCTCCGGGTACAGATATGGGGATCTCCCACGACAATGCATACGCAGTCCAGAGGGACATTGCCATGGTAGTGCTGTAGCCCATGACGCTATGACTAGAAAGCGCTGTCAGTTTGACCCCTTCAATGACGTCAGTCGCATATAGATCGCTAGATGGTCCTAGAAACGCTCAGGATATCATATAGCATAGAGGATTGTAAGCGCAACACTGCAGTTTCGAAATGTGGAAGATATTGGCCGCTAATATTTCGACCCGTGCGCGATTCTGCTAATGAATCGCTTGCTGCCAGGAAGTATAATAAATAATGTTGGTTTTTTGGAAAAATTCCGGAAGCTAAACGTATTGATAGTGCCTGACGACTCTATCGCTGAAAATGCATCGACTAGCCCCCGCCGCTCTCCCTCTGTAGTTAAATGTTGATAAAACATTCGAGGATGGCTTGAGAGAAAGTCTCAAGGAAAAGATTTGAAGCTCGTCAGCCTCAAGAATATTGCTAAATGCACAAAACATTTTTGGGTAGGAGTTTTTATTGAGAAATGATAGACCAAACGTGTGTTTCTCAGAATGGGATTTTCTTTTTAGTCAAATTAATGTACAGTAAGTACCACCTCGCATCTAGAGTTGTAGAGGGGACAAAATATACTTTCTATTTAACTAGCTTCATGTTGCCATTAGCAACAGGTACTGGGAACTTTATTTCATCTACAGACTAAATAACGTGCTACATAACCATCAAAACTGTAACTAGTTAGTTACAGAGTATCATGACGAAGCATTATGTTTTATTCAGGGCATAAGCGACATGGCGCCTGGTTGAAAGCCCGAGAAGTCCAAGGATCCCCACGTGCAATGCAACTACCCCCCACTTCCAACTCGTCCTTATTCACTACGTAACCACGCACGCCCATGACAAACTATGTATCTGAGCAGGCGAAGATAAACTAAGTAAAGAGTGGATATTGAAGACATTAAGTCCGAGTATCTAGCGAGATGAACTATCCCGACTATCCCACTCCCGTTACCATCCAACCTCTCAAATCTCACAGGCATACAATAATCCTACTCCATGGCCGAGGCGGCACCGGTGCTAGTTTTGGCCGCGAGATACTCTCGACACCCTTCCCGCTTCCTCTGCTTCGCTCTCCTGATTCACCTTTCGGAATGCTCACCCTGAGAGACGCCTTCCCGCACGCAAAATTCGTCTTCCCGACTGCACCCCGGCGGTATCCTACACAGCATAAATACGATCTCATCAACCAATGGTTTGACCTATGGTGGTTGCCATCATCTTCGTCAGCTGCAGATGACAACGGCGACCGACCGTTTCCCCTTGAGCGAGACTCGGTGCAGAGCGATGGGCTGCGGGAGTCGACACTGTTCCTGCATGACTTGCTACAGCGCGAGGTTGAATTGGTGGAGGGTGGTGCGAAGAACGTTCTTTTGGGAGGGTTGAGTCAGGGATGCGCAACCAGTCTTGTGGCATGTCTGTTGTGGGACGGTGTTGGAGAAGGGAGAGAGAGAAGGGAGGCATTAGGTGCGCTTGTTGGGTTCTGTGGGAGATTGCCATTTGAGAGGCGGGTTAGAATTATTCTAGCTGGCGGTGCTGTGGATGGAGAGAAGGTCAATCAGCCTTCTGGCACAGACGGTGAAGTTGAGAACAAATCTAGCATTGGCAATGATACGGTTGGCAGTGCAGTCGATTTTTTCCGGAAGGAGCTTGAGATTCCGCTTCCTCCGGGGCTACCCTCATCCTCTCATGATTTTCCATTCCAGCGCACGCCACTCTTTCTCGGCCATGGAGTTGAAGATATGACTGTTCCTATCCGTCTAGGGAGGGAAGCAGTTACTTGCTTTGAGTCACTGGGAATGAATGTTTCGTGGAACGAGTATGAAGGGCTGGGTCACTGGTATACGGATAGTATGCTAAGTGACTTCGTGAAATTCGTGCGGGAGAAGACAGATTGGGAACTAGAATAGCTTGGTGAATCGGCAACGACCTCGCTTGCTTCATTCTCGTCCATCCACTCACTCTCGTGGAGTCCATATGGTTTCCCTCAAGCGACCCAAGCAGGGAAGAGACGATTTTAATCACGGAGGCACCTGTTTATGCTTAACTATCTTCTTTTCTTAACTTATGTAAAGAGCTGTATGGTACGTACTTAGGACAGGTAGCTTCGGCAGTACCAGCTCATCCGGGAATTAGCAGATACGAGATAGCCCACGGAGCTTTTTCTTCCCTTGAGGCTTTATGCAACCCTATAGGATGCGATTTCTTTTTTCTGAGATCCACACCACAAAAACGGATGTTTCAAAACAAGAATAAGATTTTTTTATAGAGATAAGGTAAAAGAGAAAATAAAGCGGGAAATTTTCATCATTCGTCTCAGCATATCCATGCTGGGCGTTGAGCCTGCAGAAGACTTCCCCCGTTGGAGAAGGGTACCCGATGGAGAAATACTTGCCATGCTCTTGGCGTGAAGGACGTCAAAATACATGCATATTAAAATCCTGCCTTATTTGCTTAGCAGCATGACGACGAATGTCTTCATTTCGGCTTGCGATTCGTTGCCCCCAGCCGGCAAGAATTCTACCCAACGCTTGCGCCTGCGCCCGAGCCTGCACATTAACTATTGTTTATCACCTGCAGGCTGACTGCCAGCTGTCAATCAATGACGCGATTTCCCCCCCCCCCCTTTACACCCACCTCCCCGCAGTCTCACCATCATGACCTGCACGCATTGAGGCTTACTGTGATGGTATCATGAAGGCATAGATTGGAGGAGAGATAATCACTTCGATCGTCGCGTCAACACTAGACCACTGCCAAACGAAGCGAATGCGAGAACGAGACCAGAGGGGTTGCGAAAGAGAGCAAATGGATAACGCAACGGCTAATGCAAACCTGCATTTCGGGTACGAAGTTGTTGATGATTGATGGTGATGATAATGCAATTTAAATAGCACAATATTACACCCCGGATGGATAACTGCCTGAGAACGAGGAGTCTCAACATCCCTCCGCATGTTCCTGCACAATCATGCGTTTGGGAGCTCCCGTCACCGTGTGGCCACCCCGCCAAACTGACGGTCCAAAACCGACCGAGGCATCTTCTCACAAGGTTCTCTTGGTGCAATCGTCATTTCACCTTTTACAGACATCATCCACTTAACTTTCGAATTTATCGTCTTTGCCCGAAATCAAAGCAGAGGCAGTTAGTCCCACATGTAGAGTGAGAACTGAAAATCTAGGGTAACTGGCAGGAAGGAAGTATGGGAAACCAAGCAAGCTATTCCGAAGCTACGGGGTCTAGGGTCCTCGCCTAGCGCTTCGGTTTGTTCACCGCTCTTGTTGAGGAAGCAAGCAAATCTGCCAAGTAACTAATGGTAACGATATCGACAGCAACACATTTTAACCCCCCCTTGCGATGATACAAAAGAAGAATGGGCTCCCATCATGGATATGGAAACTGATAGGAAACCCAACTTATTTCGCTTCCGCCACATATGCCCAATAACGCGCAAGGACCCTCTCTCTTTAACAACACAGTGCCGGATGGATACCTTGAACAAGGGAATTTGCAGCTCAACGATTGGCTAGACAGGGGTGGTCATCAATGCGCAAAATTTAGAGTTTACGGTACCGCTCTTAACGAACCATTTGGCACAGCGAACGGCCCTTAGGGTTTGCTAGCCTTTGCCCTTTTGTTCTTGCTTCCTCTTTTTTTTTTTTTTTTTTCCCTCATGGTCTCGCTCATCTCTCAATCTTCCGTGGGTCAAACAGATAGAAACAATTGTATGAAAAGTAACAACATAACATGGCGCTTAAGATGGAATGGAAATAGTATTTATCGTCTGCTGTGGCCATCGCACCGTGCTATCGGCTTCGCTAAAATCATCTTCCGCTTTTGGGAAGCTTATCAACAATCGTCATGGCCGCGACTAAAGTGGAAAAACTAGAATGTCACGTCGATAAGGAGTGAATCCCTGCTGTACCAAAACAGTAGGTTCCGGTTCCTACGTAGTATGATCACCATGGCAATTGATCTATCGATATGTATTTTGATGCTCTTGCCTACCTCCATAGCCCTGTTGTCTGTTCCGTGTCTCAGCTTCATTCACAAGAAATAAATTTCACAGCTTTAGATATAACTACCCAATCAGCATCATGGTATAATTTCCTTGATAAAACTATTGTAAGCGTGACACCACTCTTGCTTCCAAGGCTTCAATTGAAGGTCTGATATTTACATCTGGCCAAGATACACTACCTGTTTATAGGTTTAGTGTATATTCACCCTTACATACAAAATTTCTAGTGTCCTCAAGTAGATCTTCAAGTCAAGAAGAACTCTATGATGTAAAGTAAGTAAGTTATGTAACTCTGTACAGGAGTACGATTCTCTACATCTCTAATCTGCATGATAATCTCATCCTCATATTCCCCTAACTGTAACTAAGAGTAAGTCTGAGATCTCTGAAGAAGCTCAGAAGTCAGAGCAGGCAAGTAAGACACGACATATAGATGGGTGCTGAGCACGGCTCACAGAAGCCAGCCATCTTATCATCTTTTCTACGGAGGATCCTCTCAAAAATTTTGATTAGCACTAAGAATTTAAGGTGTAACTTTGTTACAGGATAAAGAATTCCCATCCCCTCTCTTAACCAGAGTTCTAAGGGAGGTTAATATCTGTGGCACCTGAATAACCAGCTACAGCTTAACTAAAACTAGCCTAAATCCCAGGGGGCTGGAGAATGAAATGGTAACAGTATTACAGCTTAAATTCTTAGCGCTAATCAAAACTTTTGAGGATCCTCCGTAGTTGAGAGGCCCGGAGGCTGAAAAAAGCAAGCAAGCCACACTAAGTAGATGAGTGCCAGGTGCAGCTGGCAGGAGTCAGCTGTCCTATGATCTTTTTGACATAGTTCGATGATTATTTAGTTATATAGTAAGAACTGCAGGTGCTGTAACTACTCTGTACAGACTTATAGCTGTGAAAGAGAGAGACTGAGAACTACATTCAAAGACTAGTTACTTTGTATGTACGGAGTACTGTAATACCATGTACACACTAAATCTATAAAAAAGTAGTGTCTCTTGGCCGGGTGTAAATATCAATCCTTTCAATTGCTCAAATTCACAAAACATGCCTGAGCAAAGCTTCCTTCCAAGTTGAGCTTGCTTGATCTGTGCTGTGGCCCCGCTATTACTGCAGCTATTAGCCCTTCCAGCAGCCACTAAGTGTGCACTAAAAGTTGTCCTCGACCAACACACCCACACACACCCTGCCTGACCAGTGACTCGAGTCTCCACAGCGTTTGTTTGGGTCGGTTTCTTTTTTCCCGTGTTTGCTTTTCCGCGCGCTCTTTTGTTTTGCTGCCTCATCTCTGCACAAAGATAACAAAAAGAAAAAAAAAAGGAAAAAAAAAAGGGAAAAAAAGGGAAAAAGAGTCATTGTTGCTGATCAAAGCTCTTAATTTTTTCGCTTCCTCATCCCTCTTACTGCTTACTTCTTCTTCTCCGTCTCTGTTCACCTTCCCCTCATCCCTCCCCCGCCCACAGTCTCAAGAACGAAACATCCCACCAACCGCTGTTGGTGTTCCAACTGAAAAAAAAAAAAGAATACATACAATTCATCCCCTCTCCCATTCCTCTCTTCTCTGTGGTTTTTCCTTGTGTTTTTCCTACCAAACTTACCTGTTTGTCTATTGAGTGGTTTTTTTTTTTCCATCTTGGTTACCTTATCTTCTGTACAGGTTTCTTGGTGGCATTGCTCTTTGTATTCCCTGTAACATTAAGATCGATTGCCGCTGTACAGAATATCCGTTATACGTCGTCGTGCAAAAAACCTGTTCATCCTTTGCCAGCCTATCTATACCCGACCGAAACGAACGAAAGCCTTGTGATATCCGAAACCTGCTGCTTGTTTTTTTTGTTCTGCTGCTCTTTCTCTTTGGAACCGTCACGACCACTAACGACTTAACGAACCACCCATTATGGCAGATGATACCCGGAGTACTATCAATGTTGCCATTCGCCGGTCGAGCAAGTCTCCCGCCATTTTCCTTGCTGCCTCCTTCACTGAGCCCGCTTGGGAACCGGTTGAGCTCGATGTGAAGCCTCTCCCTCCATCAGCAAGTCAGGATACTACTGAGCAGACCAATGGCCATGTTCCAGACACCCAATACGAATTCTCAAAGTCATTCGAGGTGGCACTAGGCAAGCACCATTATAAATTTCGGGAAGGATTGGAGGGCGCCTGGTTCTATGACAAGGATGTCGAAAGTGGTAAGCAATCAGCTCGAGTGGTTTAACGAAACTTACTATGACACATGCTGATTTATAACGCTTGTAGCTGTGGACAATGAGGGGAACGAAAACAACGTTCTGGTAGTGGAACCCGTCACAGCTACCAAGAAGCCCACCGATTCTCCTGAGAAGGAGGATGCAGAGGAGGTATCTAATGAAGGTGTTGCTCCAGATGCAGGGAAAGCTGAGGAGGTGGAATTAGCTGAGGGGGAAAACATTTCTGATGCTAAGAAACCCAATGACGCATCCGTTGAACCATCCCCTAGTATTGCTGTCGTGGGAGAAGATGTGAAGGACATTAAAGACGACGAAGCGCCGGCTGAATCTTCAGGGAAACTGGAAACAGTTGGCAATAAACCCGACAATGAACCCTCCCTTGCCGATACCACCATAAAACCCGATGTACCGAAAACTGATGCCTCCGAAACTCCCACGACCGAGAACGTAGCACCAGAAAAGGTGGTGGCGGATCATGGCCAACCGACAACACCAGCTCAAGATACAGAGATCGTCGATGATTCCCCAACTACTGCAAAAATCGATGGGTCAAGAGCTGAAACTTCACCGAAACCTGTCCTAGAGGTTTGCGAAGCCCCTGTCGAAAAGCCACACGAGCCTGTAACTGATCCCACATCTGAACCCGAGGTCAATGAGAAGTCAATACTTGAGA